TTTGGGCGGCGTCAACGATTGAAATGTGATACAGTTCCAGCGCTTGCTGATACGGAAATAACTCCTGCATGAGTGTTTGATCAACAGCAGTAAGCCGAGTTTATTGTATCGGTAGTTGAGGCTTTGTCGGGGCGATTAAGGAAAATCGTTGTCTAGGTATCCCGAGTCTGGTGTGCTGGAATCATTCGTAGAGTAAAAAATTCTCACCGCAAGATTATATGACTTATCACAGACACGCTAAGAATCTAACGCGCTCTTACAGGCACACATCGACGATTGATTGGCCAATGAGATGTGATTGCTCATGCATTAGAATGACTTCACGTGATATACCTGCTAAGAGAAACCCTTGGTGGGTACCGAGAGGGAATAAACGCCCGGCGGATTGATACATTCCACTCCTGGAGACCACCACTGGCCTCACTAAGGAACAAGAGCCATAAGTGACAGTCGGAAATGGGAATAGAGACTTCGTAGGTGAGTGCTTAGTCACAATTAGCATGTCACTCCCATACCTTGGCACTCCAATGCAAGGTTGGCGGAATATGTCCGAAATGGACTAGTGCGCTTGATGTGGGGCCTCGGGAGGGAAAGAGAAAGAGAACTGGGTTAAAACTGATTTCGAATATTACTGTAAGATCAGCAAATGCCCCAGTCATTGGGCAAGCTATATCATATCTCACCTTCTTTCTCTGCTGCACATATATATATATATATATATATGGTGAAAGGCAAGGTAGAGCACCGGAGGTTTTCCCTTATATATATTGCAGACTAAGCTGATCTGCAATCCTCCTAGGACCCACAGACTCGTTGTAATAGCGAAGGAATTCCTCGACATGTTGCCTATGCTAGCAAGCGAGCTTGTTTTGATCAAGTCTACCGCTATAACTTCGAATTGAAGTTGGTAGGAGTGGGGCTATTAGGGAATAGATGTTGAATGGGTTTTGTGAGGACTTTTTCTGGTCGTTAATCAACCTAAGTGTAACTGGGGTAGTGCGTGGCCATCTGTTGAAGTGGTTACGATTTAGAATGAAAATAACTGCTCACCTGGTCTAAGATGCCACTGATTAGTTGCACACTTCAGTCTTTACGACGTGAACCGTGATTAAACCTGATGACACCCAAGCTTAACCAGCCTCGACTCTCAGGGGTCTACCAGTACGTAGTTGTGGTCTTTGAATTAAGATAATCTAGACCGTTGGGTTTGACCGCACTTAATTTTGACCGCTCAGCTTGTTGACCGCACAGTAATGCAATATGAGAATAGCAGAAGCTATCCAGCGTCGAAACAAGTTGGGCACCTCATTCTTGTCATAAAGAACCCAATGTGTCACATTTCCGGTTTAATGTAAATACCTGAAGACACTAAATTTACAGACGGTTCTTTGCACCTTCGAAATAAAGTGAGCATTAAACATTAGATACATACTAAGAATGCAGTAATGAGATAAAATGGGCTTTGCAAGGCAAATAATTGGTGAGTGATAAGGAAACATGCTAGGGGCAATCAGAAATTGCGGGCCCAGCTACAGTAGTTGAATTGCTTCCTGGGATCGCCTTATCGTATGTTCTTTGACCCACGACTTAGATGACCTACCCCCGCTTTGCTCTTCAATCTGCGGCATGCTAGACAGTCTTCTCACCTCTTTTCTGAGGCCAGTACTTTTCTCTCCATTATCTACTATAGCTTCGTTCCCGCTCCCAGCGCACAATTCACGAACTTTCCCAGTGTAAGTTAAACAATATCCAATTCAAGTACTGTAAGTCAGTTCGGAAAAATTGCGCAGGTTGGAAGTGCCACCACCGGTCGGCATGTGAGCTGACTGCCCGCTTCTAATCAATCGGCCTGTCTGCTGTACTGCTGAGAATTATGCCAAAAGAACACTACCACAACTAAGTGCCTTCCCCCACCCCTTTTTTTTCTTCGTTCAAGAGGGTCAGTAAAAGTGATGTTGTCGCTTCGAATGATTCAGTCTCGAATATAAATAATTCTCGGCCCCAGCCAGTCGTCATCATCATCGCACTTGCTTGCCTTGAAGTCGCGCATAGTCCAGGATGCGTTCTTTCAATTACCTTTTCTTTATCGGAAATGTTGTGGCAGGCAGTTATTTGGCTATCATTGAGGACAATGACGGCGAGAACAACTGTAGAGTGTGGTCTCAGAATAACCACGGTTGTACAGGCTACTCAGCAACCTTTGCTAAGCTGAAAGGCAAAGATTGCTCGGGTGAGTATCCAATTTGAATCAAAGGCCCTCACACTATTGTTAACACTCCTTAGGTTTTATTGGTGCCGATTCCGACGATAAGTCGGTGAAAGTTGATATATGTGGCACTGAAAATGGAGAGCAGGTTGCCTGGGTGACAGTCAACAAAAACGGCACTGTGTCTTTCCTCAACCGAGAGGGAGACACGTCTAGTTGTATGCTAGAAAATGGTCTTAAGGTGCCCAGTGGGTGTAGCATTGGTAATAAAGGTTCCTCTCAGACGACCACGCCGATCTCTGCAGGCAGTCAGTCCTCGTTCTCAACTGCAATCGGCACGTCCACTTCTGAAACAGCCCGTGCTGATCAATTTCCAACTCCGATATTCACGTCGACGCCTACAGACAGTCTAACTTTGTCTTTAAATACAGCCGGTAAATCGGCCACTGAGACGCCCCGTGCTGATCAATCTCCAACTCCGATATTCACGTCGACGCCTACAGACAGTTCATCTTTGGCTTCAATTTCAGCCGGTAAATCGGCTACTGGGACACCCCTTGCAGATCACTCGCCAACTCTCACGTCTACCCCGGCATGCAAATGCTCTTGCAAATCTGCAGTCATCTGATGTAGATAGAACTGCACTGCCAGTGCGAGCCGCAGGCTAGTTAATTAGAGTTTATCAGGTTTAGTACAGTATGCTGGAAACTTTTCACACCATATCTTGCCCTATATAGTTGAAGCTACACGTGTGCATCATGCAGGAGGTGAATGAGCATTTCTTAAATCCCGTTTTGTATTGAAGTATAACATAAATAACCAATATATGGAAGCACTTTATCTTTGTCTACAACGTATTTTGCACAGTACCATCACGGGTCTTTTTGAGCCTCTACAGAGTGGGATGCTCAGACGAAGGGAGAAAGGTAAACCAGACACCGACTCGAGGGTGAAGACGATTCAGGCCGTATTGGATTTCTCCGAGGCGTCACAGCGGTTTCGTAGTCGTGCGCCATGAGGGCAGCCTAACAATTGAAGAGGCAGTGGGCCACGAAAGGCCGTGACGAGGCTCTAAGTTAGTGTCAGGAAGTGGATCTCTCTACATGTACATAACTGAAGATATATAGTTGTCGTATCCTGCATATCATTCGCGAAGTTGTATTCTAAACCACAACCCACTAAGCTGGGTACGGATTCGTATTTTGGTCTAGTGGTTAAATCAACTCGCGAGGGGACAGGGTAAATGAAATAATCTACTACTACTACTACTACTACTACTACTACTACTACTACTACTACTACTACTACTACTACTACTACTGTACTTGACCAACTTCTTTGCAGTCCATTTCAAAATTCTATCAATATCAAGATATCTCAACTTATCCTTCCCAGCACAAATAGTCCGATTCCCTTGGCCAATGTGCAGGCGTTTCTTGTATTGTTCATTGTAATCTCCTCTGCTTGTGGAAATTGTGGCGCAGGATAAACCTTCAAGCTGAAATGTGTCGTTGTACCAACAATACAAAATCTGAAGCAGATATTAAAAGGTGTTTGAGAAAGTGAGTTTATGTTTCTGTTATGAAAGGCAATACCGGTTGTGGCTATATCAATAGTTTTATTTAATCTCGCATTAGTTAAAACTTAATCCTGGTGGTAGATGGAGTGCTGGTAGATGAGCACGAGGGCGAATTTATTGTGTCCACTTTAGACGCAATGCACCAGCTGCTAGCCGTTAATTCATTATTGAGCACGCAAGTTGATAAAGGCTAAAAGCAGGCCTTCAAATTGTCGTATTTGGAAATAGGATAGCTCGACTGATTATCGCTCTTGTCCAGAGCACCAGTGCCTCCAAGAGTACTCACAACCTGCAAGTTCAAAGTAAGTAAGATAATGAAATGTGTGTGGACTATGAAACATACCGTGGAAATCAAACTGTCATCACCTTGCTTATCACCGCTAAGCTCCCACCACATACCACCACCAAGGCCCTTGAATTTGATGTACTCACCATTTTTACGCGCAATCTCTAGGGTATCATAGCTGATGAACAACGCGACCCCGAGTTATAGCAGTAGCTAGCAGCTTCCTGGTCCAGATTTGCGACCTCGCAGCCGGTCTGAGACAGAGCTTTGTAGTCCCACACAGAAGTCCAGATACTGATCCATCTGGGCAAGATGCTCTTTCAGGTAGTTGGCAGGACCTAGAATTTTGGTTAGCTTTGTTGAGGAGTTTGAACGAATGATTGACCAGCAGGAGATGAAGTGGTGAGTAAGAAATGATAGCCGTCTGCGTTAGAGGAACTGTATGAATCCAAGGCCTGAAAATGTTTAGTTTTGCAGACCCGTCAATAAAAGAAGCATGAAAATACCTCACGAAGACGGCGTAGGGTATCAACAAATTGGTCCGCTTCGTTGTTATTTCCAGGATACTATCTGACATTAGCATCAAACACCGTGAACGAGATAGCAAACTCACTTCAAAATCAACATCAATACCGTCGAAGCCCAAGTCCTTCAGCAGCTCCACGGAACTGTCCGCAAACTTCTGGCGTTCCCCTTCTGTCTCAAAGGCCAGCCTGAGGTTGGAAGAATACGTCCAGCCTACAATCGACAGAAGAACCTCAAGTTTGCGGTTTTTCTTTTTGAGTACAGTAGGAAAAGGTACAGTAGGACCATTTCGAGGCAGAAGCCCTGTATTCAAGATTCAAAGCGAACAAAAGGACGTTGTGATTAAGATTATTTTGATATAAAACTGCGACGTTGTGTACCGAGCGGGAACTAACCCCCTGCCGATGGCGGACCCACATGCGGGAGGGCCCGAGAGCCCTCCCACAAACACTCAAGAAAGCACCGACGGCTTCACGGAAGACCTCGCAACCAGAACCACCGTCGAGAACCGGAAGCGAACCCGGATGTCGCGGCCGTTAAGATCTGGACAGCCGACTCCCAAACGCTGGTATTTTCGGTCTACGTACCTCCAGTACCACTTTTCACGGGCAACGACTCGTCAGCATTACCAGCCCTCACGGGCGATACAAAACTCTATCACAAGCGCCACACAAAATGAGCAGCGCGCGACGAGTATTATTGTTTCCGGTGATTTCAACCGACACCATCCAATGTGGGGCAACAACTATATCGCTCCTAGATTCATTGAAGACGCCAGCGACCTGATCGATTTCTTCCAAGCCCACAACCTCCACGGTTGTCTCCCTCGAGGGACGGCGACTTACTGGGCATTCAACAACCCTGGACAGAACTCGACCATTGACCAGACGGTGACAGATAACCTGGACTTGCTCATCAAATGCCATCTGTATCACGAAAACTACGGATCCGACCACCGTGCCACCTATTCAGAATGGAACCTTCAACCCCGGAGCAGGCCAAACACCAAAGCAAGGAAGGCGTATGAGCGCGCGGACTGGACCAGGATCGGCGAAGAAGTAGCCCGACAGATGAACCCATGGAAGCAGATCAAGACCCGGCCAACACTCGACCGGGTAGTGGAAAACCTTACAGCGGCAACGGCCCAGGCGGTCGACCGGTTCACACCAGACACACGCCCCACACCATACTCCAAGCGATGGTTCACGCCAGATCTTAAGACCCAACAAGTCGAAGTCAACCAACTGCGAAGGAGGTGGCAGGCAAACTGCGCCGAGCTGGGAAGAGAGCATGCTAACACCACAGCTGCCTTCGAAGCTATGGAGCAGAAACGACGAGCGTGGACGAGGACCATCGAAAAAGCCAAGTCCTCACACTGGAAGCAGTTCCTGGACGAAGCTGATGAAGGGAAGCTCTGGAAGGCTGCGACGTACATGAAGCCCCGAGAGACATGGGATTGCGTCCTAGCACTGCGAGTGGGCTCGGAGGAGTGCACCCAAAACGAAGAGAAAGCGAGGACATTCCTGGATGCGTTCTTCCCCGCCATGAGTCCACCCGAGTTCAACCCACCTACCACACCGGCGACGGAACTCCCGTGGCACCCAATCACAGAATCGAAGATTGAGCGATCACTGAAAGCAGCCAAAGGGAATACAGCGCCCGGGGAAGATACCTTACCGATGCTGGTTTGGAAGAAGCTTTGGGGGCATCTCAAGGCCTTTATTGTTAGCATCTTCACAGCGAGTGTAGAGCTAGGGCACCATCCGAGACAGTGGAGGAGTGCAAAAATCATCGTCCTACGAAAACCAGGCAAGCTTGATTACTCAAAACCTGGTGCCTACCGCTCAATCTCACCTCTTAACACGCTTGGCAAGCTCCTGGAGGCAGTGATGGCCCGACGGTTGTCCTATCTGGCGGAGAAACACGGCCTGCTACCAAACAGCGAGTTCGGCGGACGGCCGGGTAGGACCACCGAGCAAGCCCTACTAGCGCTGTCCAGTGCGATCGACAAAGCCTGGTACAAGCACAAGGTGGTGACCCTAATCGCCTTCGACCTCAAAGGTGCCTTCAACGGAGTGAATAAGACAAGCCTGGATGCGTCGCTGCAGGCAAGACGGATCCCGATTGTGGCCAGAAAATGGATTGCAAGCTTCATGAGCGACCGGCACGCCAGCATTGGGTTTGACGACTTCCGCACCGAGACTGCTCTGCTGTTGAATGCTGGGCTAGCTCAAGGATCACCACTTTCCCCCATCTTGTTTGCATTCTTTAACGCCGACCTGGTCGACCAGCCCGTCGACTCCCAGGGAGGTGCATCGGCATTCATTGACGACTACTTCCGATGGAGAGTGGGGGGCTCGGTTCAAGAAAATTTAACCAAGATACAGTCTGAGGATGTCCCTCATATCGAAAAGTGGGCAACTGGATCCTGCTTCGCGGCGGAGAAAACCGAGCTTATCCACCTCACCAGAAAGAGGGGAGAGCATATGGAAGGACGAATCATCTTCGATGGGACCGACGTCAAGCCATCGCCTACAGCCAAATTACTAGGGGTGGTGTTCGACCAGGGACTTCGCTGGAAGGAACATGTCCAGCAGGCTATCAAGCGCGCCACCAAGACCACAATCGCCTTAAGTGGACTACGACACTTGCGCCCAGAGCAGATGCGACAGCTCTGCCAAGCATGTGTCGCGCCTATAGTTGACTACGCATCGACGGTCTGGCACGACCCGCTTAGGGACAAAGTTCACATCCGACACTTGAACACAGTCCAGAGAACCGTGCTGATCAGAATCCTGTCGGCGTTCAGGACGGTAGCAACCGCGACCCTAGAGGTTGAAGCCTATATACTTCCCACGCACCTTCGCCTTCGACACCGAGCGCAGCGCACGATTGCGAGACTGCACACTCTACCTCGCGACCATCCCATTTGGAGTGCTCTGTCAAGAGTCCAGAACCGTAGGAACAATGTCGGATCATACGCCCGCTTCCCATTAGCAGAATTACCCGTGGCGTTCCTGGGAACATTCATTCGGTTCCTAGGAGCTTGTATCAGGCTCCGGGGGACTCGGTGGTTCCTGGGAGAGACAATGTCGTCTAGGGATTTCTAGTGACGAATAGAGAGCACATAACAGACTTATTGAACTTAAGCCATTCTCTTTAGGTAACGCAAGATAGCTCGCTTCATGACGTTGGAACCCACATCATAGAGCAAATCTAGTAAGCACCGTAGCTGGCAATCCGGCATAAAGTCAGCTGAAGTCCCCTTTGTTCTTGCACCTTAACCACAAGACAGTCATGCAGATTCCAACTACATTACATGCACTGCTGGCCACGGCGTTGCTACTAGCTAGCTTTTTCCTTCTCGTGTGGTCTCGTCGAGCGGTTCAGAAAACCTCATTACACCAGAAACTCGACCTTGCCGTGTTTGCGCCGAAGATTGTTCTACTGGGAGTGCACATGGGACTGAGCTGGAGCAGGAAATGTGAGACAGGGAGAGAAGTGATATTGGGGGTAACCAGTTTATTTCCCTCTTTACTCGTGGTACGTGCCATCACGTTGTTTCTCGGTTTTACGTTAACCACCAAACATCAGTATCTCCGAATAAGCATTTTCCTGCGAAGCCTCCCTAGTGCGCCATATCAGTTGATGATCTGTTTTCCGCTATTTGCGCTTTTCTCGTGCTTGACAAAGATTACGGCCACGGTAGTTGGTACTTATTTTGATCGCCCACTGCGAGTCGTCGTACTCTTCCTTCTCTTTTTGGATCACCTGGGCTTGGGTTCTCTCTTGTGGTGGCTGGATGGGTATACAATGGCCCATACCAGGACTCGAGTGCAAATGCGTTGCGCTTTGTATTGCACAGTTGGAGTGGCAGCTGTTCTTCTTCTAATTGCAGTCTTGGGGGTTGTTCTTTCCTGTTGGCTGTTATCGCTGGAGGTAAATCCTCACCCTCTCGGTGGCAAATATCATTATTTGCTGCCCTTTCTAACTTTTACAGCTCCAACTACTCATCATCATGGTCTGGATGATCATATCATTTTACGCGGTACGAAGTGCTGGAAGTCCAGTCGGCGAGCATTTGGCTTGTTCAACCCACGTGGTAGGCAACGAATCCTAGGGACATAGGGTCAAGGGCTTCATTGGTGGGCTATCACAGGCTTGCTATCGTCGCACACCGAAATTGCAACATTGTGGTGATACAGCTCCGAAACGGTTTTGATGTGTTCAAGTTCAACAGCAAAGACTAATGTCTGGGAAACGCATCTCCTGGCAAAATGGCCAAGTCAGCGGCCGATCGATCGTTCCAAACTTTGAGTACACCAATAAGGTTTCCCCGAACTTCATCCAATGCATTTTCAATGGAATGCAAGCGAGCTACCTGCTCATCTTGGCGAAGCTTCAAGTGGCTTCCTTCGTTGCATAGCTGAATATTTCCGGCCCGTAGCTTTTCGTTTGCTTCTTCAAGCTGCTTGCCATCTGTGTGTTTGGAAACGCAAGACTCCCACAAACACCGATAGTACCCCACCAGGCGTGCAGCCTGAAATGCAAGCTCGGTGTCTTCTTCTTCAAGCTGTTTCAATATCTCAAGTACGGGTTGGAAGGGCTCCACGGCCAGATTATTTCTCTTGGTGTCGTGATTCTGCGTGTAATTGGTCAGCCGGGTCCTCTATGGTCATATGTCCATCTTACTGGCTGCGAGACTTCATAGCCAGACACCGAGCTATTCTCGGCCGAACTTGCGCTCGATGGTACCTCTCCATGTCCGTCTGCCATTTCAGGCAATTTGCTGGGACCCTCCATTGTTGGTCGTGTTAGTAAAGACGCTACTATCTAAGTCAGGAAATCAACGTCTCTTTATGGCCCTGCTCATCCCGCTGCTAAGGATAGAGCATGGCCAGACAAGACCGATTAAGATAGAAATACTGGTAGTATAGAGTTAGCAATCCCTCAACTACGTGCGGTTGTGCGTCCACCAACGCTCAGTTCAGTCCCCGTAAACACCGTTTAAAACTAATGTTGGGGCGGATTTCCTTTTGAGAGTAAGATCTACAATTAAAATCGTAGGGGGGTTTATTGTTTCCAGTGTCGAAAGGCTACAATGAACTATACAGTATGCAGCTACAACCTGTAGCTGCGATCAATACGGTCTCATCGCCACCAATGTGGTTCGCGCTGGTGGGTTATTGAACCTCAAATGGGTGCACCAGTGGTCACATCTGAGAAATCGCCTGCCGAAACGTGTATCCCTGGAGTAAGATGGGGGGCTTTGGAACGCCCCGGTCGGGGCGGGGTTTGTTGCTGGTACCAGCGAAAGTAAGCCCAGTGAGACACAGTTTTATGGGAATTAGTACCACACTGCACATATAATAGTAACTCTGTGTGCCATTCTAAACGAGAATCATAGAGGTATAGCAGCATGCATGAATAGGGCTTAGGCTGCCCTTGTGCAGCTCAAAATTTAAAGTTTAAGGAGGGCATAAAATCATATCGGTAGTTAGAGGCGGTTCCTGTATCAGAGGAAGGCAATACATTTTTGCGGGCGCCAACAAACGCCGTTTACTCTTGAAGGGGTCTAAGTTTCAACGGGTAGGTACTATAGGCATCCATTAATGATTTTCACCAGCTCATGCAACTGTTTTATGCAGGTCACCCAAACGTACGCATCAGATACGAATGAGTTTTCTTAAAGTTTAAAATATAGTTGAGTAAGTCAAACTGCAATGGAAGTGTCGGCAAAAAAAATAGAAACCACAAATTCTCCAGTGAAATACGAATCCAAGGTTTTCGAGTCCTTTATGACCATAGAGGTGCCTGTCGTGCTGATAATTATTTTCACGACTTCTGATGATTTTCACAACGCAAAATCGAAAGTCTAGATGAACCAAGGGAAAGATGACGTCAACCATTCCGCTAGAACCGCCAGCCTACCTCTATCAGCGGAGATGAAAAGCTATCTACATAACTGAGAAGACTGTTAAAGCCTTCGGCCGCCCAGGAATCGAAATTTATCTACCTAAGAGCTTGACTTCAGACCTAGTCATTATCATAGGATGATTGTTTTCCATAATGGATTTGCATAAACTTCTCAACGATGCTTCGTCGCCTATAGCAAATATTCAACACAAAGATCAACCCTCGCTGCAACTGTCTCGGTCTTCTTCGGTCGAGACTAACATGCTGCCCTCTTTTTTGAGCTTTGTGGAAAGTGTTGGCAATGCCCCACAAAAGAGTAGTCCGTCTATCCTGAGCGGGTTCCTCCAATGCTAGTTTACTTACAATCTATCTTTAGGAGAACGAGATTTTCAAGCAGCATCATGTCATCGTGATGCTCAACACATGCCCACGTGTCACCCTCTTCAACAACAACATAATCCTGACGCCGGGACCAGCCAGAAAAGGATTTCCCCAATACATTACCAGAGCGCCGAGTCGATCTGTCGCTATTCGCATTACTCTAAATACGGTGTCGTTCCAGACAGGTCCGTTCCTCATCTTACGGGACTCTTCACCTCGCCATTGCCCATCGTCCGTTCCTGCTTTTCCGCCGTCGATATCTATCCTCTTCCCCTTGCTACTGCTGCTGTAGAAAGCAAGACTTTGTGTCCACCGGACACGACCACATTCGGATTTTCGACATCTCATGACCCTCTGTTTCAGCCACACCCTGCCGTGTACACACACAAAGGTTGGTATCACCAACAATTGGTTGAGATTTCACCTTATATCCAAAACGCCAGCCAGCTCGAATATTATTACCACGCCTTTTCGCAAGGTACCCGAACATCTTACGAGAACTACAATGAATGCAAATCATGCGGCAAGCTGTTTTCACGCCCCTACACTCTCAAAATTCACATACGGTCTCACACAGGCGAGAAGCCCTTCCATTGTCCTAACAAAGGATGTGACAGGGCATTTTCTGTGTCGAGCAATATGAAACGTCATACACGTGACTGTCCAACGACTACTGAGCTTCAGTAGCACAAATCCAAAGCCAACCATGGCTTCTTCAAAGATTCATGCCGAAAACCCGATCCCTTGTATTGCCAACATTTCAATTCAAAGTTTGAGCGACCCTGCAAACCCCAATTCTCTCGTTTATACGACCTAAAACGACACGAACGAACCGTACACAACCTGAGCTGCCCCTGGAGGTGTTCCAGCTGTCTGCAGAAGATCTCTCGTGCGGATGCGCTTTCAAGGCATTTGCGTAGCTCACATAAGCCTGAGGAACGCAATTAGCCTATATTTGTTTGAGTATGAGCGTGAACATCGGAAAATGATGGTCCATAAAGACTCCGCTGCCGTTGACAAACCCCAATGATGGCTCTTAATACAGTGTGTGTGTGTGTGTGTGTGTGTGATCACGGTTCTCCAGAGATGCTTGCCTAGAAGGGATAAATGCACGGTAATGAGCTTTTCGAGATCTATTAGCATTTTGCGATCCCGAATGAATGGCTCTTGATTCAGATAACGATGCCATATTCTTCATTAAAATCAAAGTCCCAGTAAATCTACTTCAATTCCTGCGTCATTTTGCACACCCAGCGTTGTGTGCGTAGATATCAGCGCGTCTTCGTCCTCCTCCTCAGCGTTGAAATCAATTACAGTACATTTCTCAAGGAAGGGACGGTCATGACGGTCATTCCAAGAAGATTTTCCGCTTCCAGTTTCAAGTTTGAAGTATCATCCCGCAATTTACCAGCGGGATAGTAATGGACAGTCCATCCGCGGTCTCTGAGGGCTTCAAGCTCATCAACTTGCCAGCGCCATCCCAAAGGACCACAGACAAAGATGTCCTTTGTATTTGTGGTAGAACTGAAAGGGTACATAGTATAAAGATATGTAGGTGATCAGGCACATTTCATGGGTCGCGAAGAAAGCAATTTTGGCTTTATCCAGACACTTCACTGTGACACTCTTTTCGTCTTCAAGTCTGCGATAAGTCGACCCAAAATTCTCCATAAACGTCCTGTTAGCAAGAAAGATGAATTATGTCAGGAGGAATCTTTCATACATCTGTAGCTTCATAAGAGGCCCCGATGGTCAAAAATCGGTGCCAGAGAAAGGCGGCGACGGGATATGGTATGTATATAGTACATCAAGCCTGGATGATAGGATCAACAGCCAGAATGGCCATTGTCTCCTTTATCAGGCTCTTGACATCATCAAATTCTCCAAAGAAGCATTGCAGCAGAGCAGGGCCATCGAAGGGCAGTGGAGCCGAAGATGAGTGAAGGGCCATTGTAAAAACCCCCAATCGCATGGACTGGCTGGGAGGTGCTAGGGTCTTTTAAAGACACGAGAAAAGCCTTTGGTTTGACCTGGTGTTTAGTTCATAGAAACACAAAAGCCATTTAGGTGAAGGCTGTTCATAGCTCAACACGGTACATGTAAGTTGAAGTTTTCTACTGTGTTTGTACAGGGAGGATCGAAATCAGTTTCACCACTTGCGCACAGAGATTCTTTCTCGAACCCTCCTTCTAAACACGCTAATCTTAATCCTGCTTAGCCTCGTTTCAAGTGCCGATTTGTATTGAAAGCTCGTATTATACGTGTCTCGGCTTTGTAAATTACATGAAACACGCTTGCACTTGATCCCGCCAAGTCTGCCCCTTGTGGTAACTCTCCACTCTTGCATCGGCTCCGTCCGTCCCTACATTTAGTAAGGACAGTTTCGAGTGATGTAGTCAAAAATCTCGCTTCATGTGTAATAAGGTGATCAGCAACAGAACACCTCTTCGAAATTCAAACTCAAGGCAGAAATTGGCCCTGAAACTTAGGATATAAGAGTATATAACTACAAAGTGACATTGAACCTGTCCGTTTCCTACACAAGCAATGTTCGAGAAGTTAATAATCAAAGTATGCGAATAATGTAGTTCGAGTCTTTCCCTCTGCCTAGTCGAACACTTTCGAAGCAGATCAATGGCTACAGTATACCATTATGACCGGAAGATTTCGAAGTGAAAGCCGAAAGGCCTTGATGAGTTCGGTCTTTCGAATTTCATCGCCTGTATCCGGAGCTTCTCAGCTCCACCAGCCCTGGTTCAAATTAACCCACGCCGAATTGAATACAGATATTACCTACGATCAAATCCGATTTACACAAAGTTTCCATAGGTAGACTAAAAATGTTCCCGACGGTGTTTGACAATCATACAGATAAAGGGCAATATCAAGTTCCAACTTGTTTGTGGATCCCATCGGGACTGTCCTTCATTTGACATATGTAATTCTGATGCAATCCATTTTGGGACGAAAAGGGACTATTGCCCAGAAACAGCAGATTCTTGTTATCTGAGTTGGCAGACCTAAAATATACGAGACGATGAGAGTGATGAGGCCTGAAGCTAGGCTATAGATGAACACTATAGTGGAAGTCACAGAAGAATTTACAAAGTTTGTTCGGAAGGTCCGGAGGCTTTGAGGGAAAGATTCTCAACTAGGTTTCTCGGAGCCACAAAGCCGGACTACGGTGAAGGCAATGTGATAGCGCCTCTTCTTTGAAGCATATTGACAATGCCGTGATGGCCTCGCTGTGAGGCAGCCTGGAGAGCGTTGCCATACCTGCCGCCCTGCGCGTTGACATCTGCTCCCTTGTTCAAAAGCAGGTTGACAATCTCTTGATGGCCACCCCCTGAGGCAGCCTGGAGAGCGTTGCCATACCTGCCGCCCTGCGCGTTGACATCTGCTCCCTTGTTCAAAAGCAGGTTGACAATCTCTTGATAGCCTCGCTGTGAGGCAGCCTGAAGAGCGTTGCCATAGTAGCCGCCCTGCGCGTTGACATCTGCTCCCTTGTCAATAAGATCGCGTGCAGGCACACTAAGTCCATTGAAGCAAGCATAGTAGAGCCTAGAGCCGAGCGGAGCTCCAGGGCTATCGTCCCAACTCCTATCAGCCTGATGCAAACGAGCCCATCTTTGAAATGTCTCTTCCGTTTCTAGAAAGCTGACTATTCTTTGGGTAATCTCCTCGTAGGCCAGTGTTAACGTAGCATGGTATGTCCAATGTTCGGCCGCATATCTTGCCATCGGAAAATGCCGCGTCATCTCTCTTTCGCTACCGTTGATGTCTGTCAGATATATCAAGCACGTCCTCGTGATGGAAATGCTGGCAGTCGTAATCTGGAATTGGTCATGTCTGAGAAGGTACTCTTCCACAGAAAAATGGGCAAGATGCAACTCTTTATCATTGGTATAGATGACTGTCACTAAGCTGGGACAGTAAGCTAAGATATCAGTCTCGCAAAACAATCGACGCTTTATGTCAAACCCTCGTGACTCGTCTTCAATCTGCGTCGCTATTACTTCTTTAACCTCAGCCAGCGTTAGAGGTCGCTTGGAATGCACTAGGAATTGGAGAAGCCGTATCGCGTCAATTTTTAACTCCGATGGTATACTTTCAAATATACGCTCGTATGTCTCATTGAGATTCAGCGGTAAAGATTCAAGAGCCTCCTCCATAGCTGCCTCGTGACGACATCGAGCCAGGCTGTCTAGCTGACAGAACGCCCACCTAAACCTAATCAAGGCGTCAGTAAGCTATCATTATATTGCTCAAAGCAGTGATTACTCACATCCCGTCGGCGCCGTCACCAACCTTTTTCCGGATCTCTTCCAAAAGGTTCTGGGACAAGGGCTTCTCTGTAAAATCACGCCGTTGAGAAAGTTGTGCTATGACCCACGATCGAATATCGGAGTTGATGGCTTGCTTATCAAGTGCTAGGATGTTTTGCTCTCCTATTAAGAGGGGAATGTCGCGCAAAAACTCGGATTCAGGTCGACCGGTGAGAAGCAGCTGAACATGGACCAACTCTAGCCTCGACACCATATCCTTAATCCACCCGAGCACAGCGTCCCTTGTTTTCGATTCATCCAATGCGTCCAGAACAATAGAGACCTTCCTCTGGGCTACGAGCATCTTGGAAACAACACTCCAAAGCACCTTTGTCGTAGGTTGGTCGCTGCCATTTCGGTGCGCCTGGAACAAAGCATCGAGATGGTTTGCGGAGTCCACCCCACGGCGGTAAAGCTGGAAAGCAAGCGAGCGCAGCATGCCTTCCAATGTCTGTTTTGCGACGTCGTTAAAGTCAAAGAAGAAGCTAAGGATAAGATCGTCGTTTCCGTTTGCGAGATGATCAAGCACAGTGGTACTAAGAACCGACTTTCCACACCCCGCGAGCCCGTGCAGCCATAACTGTCGACGTGACCCCGAGTGCCACTCTTGGAAGACGGGGGATTCGAGCAGCCACGCGCCAGTCCCCTCATGGCGGAGCGTCCTAGCATGGCTGGCGTTTGAAGATGGATCCGGGGGACAAAGCCAGCGCTTGATCTCATTGGTATGAAGGTCAGATCTGATAGAATCTGCAGTATTTCTTGTTGCAGCTGTTGTCTGCTGCATGCTATCGATCTGCAGTTGCACTACTCGCACCACTCGCAGTCAGAATATATTTCCAAATCCAAATGGTATTCGTCTCGGGTATTTGCTGGTATTTAATACACCTGCAAATGATGTATTCAGGTAGGTATATACTAACCCTTTTCCAATATAGCCTTTGCTGGATCCTCGGCATTAACAACACTAGGCTGAACACATCCCAAAAGTTCCTTTGCGTACGCAGCGGCCATGGCTGCAGCATATTCTTGCCAGGTTTTCTCTTTTCCCAAGTCCGCATAGTCACAAATGCCTCGGATAACAATACATGGGAAGTCATTCATGAGCCCAGCTGCCTCCATCTCCACGCATAGTAAGTGCCCGCCGTATTTTTTGTCAAGGAGGTCTCGGGATTGGGCATCCTTAATCACTTTGTTCCCGGATGCGATCAGGCCATAGTGTACCCTGACTTCTCTTGGGGCCCTTGCACCCTCTGCCTTCTCTGATACCCGTACATTCTCCTCATTTACCGGATTAATAGCCCATGAACCAAGAAAATATGCGATAATTGCGATGATCGCCTGCCACAACCAAGACAGGAAATAGACTTCCCTCGGAGTCCGGAACCTCTCGGATACCAATAATGGGTCTTGCAAACGCTCACACCTCGTATATTTTGGCGCTAGCCGTGGGAATTTCCTTTCCACATCATCCAGGTACTCATTTATCTGTGATCCGTACATCTCATGATTACTTTTCAGCTGGTTCGACGCGTTAAGTAGCGCGTTCGGGGGTCGGTTTAGCGAGCCCGTGTGAACAAACCGCCCATCCCGTTCCAGCTTCCCCATATCCCATTGTATCACCCCGTGATAGTCAGCAACAGGTTGACTGACCACCACATCACCCAGATTGACCTTTGACGGAATTCCGCCGCCAATCCCTACCATAAGCCCGAACCTGATTGATTGGAACGTGTTTATCATAGAGGTCGCGACGGTTGCGGCAGGGTTGGTTCCCATGTTGGGCAGGCAGGCTATGACGACGTTGTGGCCGCGTATTGAGCCAAGAGTATATGCGTTATGATCATTTCGAGGGATCGGGAGAGATTCGTGCTCTTCATCTAGCATGGCTCTGGCTGCGGTTTGTTCTTTTGGAAGGGCGCACACCCATCCGATGGTATATGCATCGTGTTGGAGTCGCTTTCGGCATGGTGGTGTGTCGAGACTCGGTTTGTTCTGTCCTGACACTGATTGCTCTGACTGAGATTGGGAACTCTCAGCCATGGTGGGTGGAGAACAGCTCGACTAGCCAGAATGCCCAGACGTGCGAGATAGTACGCGATGTGTCAACCAGGCACTCTTTCTTCTAACAGAAGACGCTGAGGAGTAGCTGTTTTTAGAAAGTTCTAATGTGGTTCTTGACGAGAATCTCAGTGGGACCCCGACGAACTGAAAGAGGGGGAATTTCCTCAGCCTCGTCATCATGTGACTCTAGCGCGATCAGCTAGGAAGATTAATTGCACCTTTCAGCTTGCCCACACCGCTTTCTAAATGGTTTTGTGTCGATTTCACTTCCACGTGGGGGCGGGTAATGACGTTCCTAGGAACGGGTCTACCCGATTCCAAAAGTCAGATCGAATGAGAGCCCTGTTACTGTGACCAGCCAGCGTTTTCCAGATAAAATATCTGACCCTCATCGCTTGAAGAGGTCACTGCTTTCTAGCAATTAAATTGCACATTTTAAGAAGTGCTAGATCACAGTTGTGATTAGCATAACCGAGGGATGATGTGCCATTTTGTTTAATCATCTTTTTCTAAGGTCCGCAACTTTGAGATGTGCTGCTAGGCTCCCAGGGACTACGAGATCGTTATGTCACGTGCATATCCTAATACCTAGCATCCCCCAGGCTTTTCACCCAAAATCATTTCACCTGCTCACTAAAGAAAGGGGTGAGCAAAGGTGAGCAGATAGAGTCGCTCCCCACCCCCGTCGCCCTCCTAAAGCTCTCCTCTATCAACGTCCAGAATTCTCTTCGCAATATAGCGCCAAGACTCCCTCTCTCCAAGCTCGAAATGGTCCAGAACATGATATCAAGCAAATCGCTGACTACCTCGCAAATGGCTAAAGCTGCTGAATGTAGTAAGCGTTCCATAATCAACATCAGCAATAACCTCCGCCGATTCGGAAATGTCAGAGCACCCCCAACTCGAGTCGGTCGACGACGAAGCATCACACCTCCGATGATAGAAGCACTATGTGATCGCCTCCTCGAAAAACCCGGGCTATATATAGACGAGATGGCAATATTTCTATGGGACGAGTTCCGTGTTCAGGTCACAAATTCGAGCCTTAAGCGGGCTCTTGCATCGGTAAATTGGTCGAAGAAGGTGGCTCGACAGAGAGCAAAGGAACAGAATGCGGATTTACGAGATTCCTATTTGCACTATCTGTCGGACTTCAAGTCGTATCACTTAGTCTATGTGGATGAGTCTGGATGTGATAAACGGATCGGGTTTAGACGGACAGGTTGGTCTCCGTTAGGCACAGCGCCATTGCAGGTAGCCAACTTTCACCGCGACCAACGGTACCAGATCTTGCCTGCGTATTGCCAAGATGGGATCGTACTCTCTCGTGTTTTCCAGCTCCACCGACGCTACATTATTTGAGGACTTCATTAATCAGCTTCTAAGGCATTGTGGAAGATGGCCTGAGCCAAAGTCCGTTCTAGTCACGGACAACGCGTCTTTTCATCGTTCTGATCGTATCGATGCAATGTGCACTGCAGCAGGGGTTAAGCTAGTGTATCTGCCACCGTACTCACCCGACCTGAATCCGATCGAGGAGTTTTTCTCGGAGTTGAAAGCATTCATTAGACGGAACTGGGTACGGTATGAGGAAAACTCAGAACAAGGGTTTCAAACCTTCCTCGACTGGTGTATTGAGGTTGTTGGATCTCGAAAACAAAGTGCTTTGGGTCATTTTAGACATTCTGGCGTTGATATCCAGGCTCAGAATTCAATGATAGACTAGACCAGCGATATAGGAACGTCACATATATATATGTCGCGTTATATGTACTACTGACTGCTAATGAAACCCACCTGAGGCTCTACTCATTTTCCGTCTACCGTTGTGTCCTATTTATATTCTGAAGTAGATATTCGAAACAAGTACTGTAGTTCAAAAACAAATATCGCGATTCTCCTAGCCACTATTGTATGCTTCTTTAGAGTACTATCTATATACACTCAATCGGCGAAATATTCCTCATACTTCTGGCCCATTTCACCACATCTCTTACGAATTGACGGGCAATACCCACCATGATCCCTTGATCGATAAAGAATGACGGATCTTGGTCCTCGTAGATTAGCTGAAGATCGAAACCATTCGCCAGCGCGATATCGCATGCTTGACGAAACTGAGCTTTTAAATGGTCATCAGCGACATTCGCCTCATGCCATGCGCTATACTCTCTGACCGCAACATCTCGAAGTCCAGGAATATTAAAGTCGTCATTGACTTGGGCCTTTGGTGACGAAGGCATTGCTGGGGATGCGGAGGATCGCGTCTCCAATTGAGAGGAAGGTTGCACCACATTGAAATGTATATTGATGGGACAACTTCCTGGGATACTGGACAAATTTTTTTTCTTGGATTGTTTGTTCTCCAGCCGCTGCTGCTCTTCCATAAATAGTTCTTCACGAAAGATTTCCGGGACGTCTTCATGAGACTGCAGGGTGTTTCCTTTTTCCACAAAGGCAATTAAACGTTTTAAATGGTGGCTCCTCAGCGCATAGTGCTTTTTCCCGTGTGGGTCTTGCCAGCAATGTGGGCCAAGATGGCATGATGAAGAAGGACAACGCATCAGGTTGTACACAGCTCGCCAAACGGATTCTTGCCCAGATGAATTCTCTTCGGCATCCACTTGAACGTCTAGTTCGTTGAGCATCCGTTTAGTGACCGATGACCTTCCTCTTTTTTCGACCCTACCTGAGGCAGTTTTGGAGAGACGGTCGTCCTCAACATATTTAAAGGTAATACTTAACCTCAGTTTCTTGCCTCGACGGCACACTTCGCCCCACCTGAGCAGTTGCTTTTCCACGGCAGTCCAATCGATGTCGAGATGGTCAAATCGTTTCGTCAGGTCGCGTTGGGAGCGATCATTCACCGACACGACGATCGAGGTGTCGTCCGACTTTACCCTTCCTTTACCGGGGGTCTTTCCATCTAACAACTTTTCCAACTTACCCTTTAGGGTCGTCGGCCAGTAGGCACTCGGAGTCAGGGCTACGTCCTCTTCAGTGTCCCGCGAGAGCACTTTCTTATTCACGGTGACTTTCCACTCTATCGTATATTGGATGCAGTTTGCCGGCAGTTCGTTACTTGGCATTCCCTCATACCATTCGGATAGCTGAAGTAGTCGAGGAGGTTGTGGTTGCTGTTGTGACAGGACTTCCGGGTCGTTTTCGAAGTGATAGTCGAGGGAAGGGCTGCGCCCATAACTTAACGCAGGCGTGCGACCGTAGAATCCTGGAGTGGGGGCATATTGCGAATCTTGATCCCCAAGTTCGAGGTCATGCGGCTGAGAATCATGGTCATAAGGACACGAATTAGCAGTCATCGTGCTCGTTTCAAGGCTCTAGCAGATCCAACATCAGCATGATCACGACCAGTCAGTTCAGGAGATGCTAGTCCCCAATCAGAAGGCCAAGCCTGTTACAAGAAGCAAAAAGTATTACCCACTAGTACTGTCTCTATACAACTCGCTCGTTCGCAGTGGTCACTCTAGAGGGCAAGTGGTTGGCAGAATGGGGATTCTAATTCCTGCCACGTCTCCAAATGAGCTGCAGGCATTCGTTTGTTTGGCTTGTTTGCTAGATCAACGCTCTAGAATCCCTGGAGACCATACGAGTCAAATACAGAAGCTATTTTAAGCTGTTATTTACGACTGTATCGGAATACCGCCAAGAAAGGGGTTCAGGGGAAGAGTAACCGTAATAGGTATAGTGTGTTTCGACAGGGGGTTCGAGAAAGAATCTCTGTGAAGAAGTGGTGAAACTGATTTCGATCCATCCTGTATTGGATTGATGGCAGTTTGAATAAAGTATTGCAACAACCCGGTTTATTCAGGTCACTAAATCAATTTCTGAATCTTGCTAATTGAAGGCTCGGCCTCTCGGGGCATTGTTTCTCTCTGCTAGCCCCTTCTGTATCCTTTCCCTCGTTTTGCCGGTGAGCATTGTCGGTGAGGTTTGGGCCGCAGACGTTGCATCCACTCCTGTCGAACTTCCTCCTGGGCAACGGCTCTCTCATGTTGCAGCTTTTGTTCTAAGCCCTCATTAAGGGGACCAAACGCCGTGAGAGATTTCCACCACGTCTCTGGTCTCAGGCATCTCGGCTGAAGCCGCAGTCGAAGCGTAGTTTGTGACCGCTTCAAGGGTGGTTCTAGGCTGTGGGCAGCCTTGGTCTTTGGCGACGGTTGCATGTTGAAGCAATGGTCAAGCATAGGCATGGTGTCAGATGTCTCCCGCAAGCGGCGCGTTGACCGACGAGAGATATTAGCCATTATCCAGGACAACGTGAGAGGGGATATGATGCTTTGACTGGGGTAAATCAGGATATTTAACATCCCCCTTGTCATTACTATCACTAGAAAGTGCACCGTCTCATGAATCCTGGACAACAGGTCTCATCCCTCATTTAGTGAATTCAGAGGGAATAGAATGAGAAATTAGTGGTCGATGGCAGGTCCATACTTGGGCGGCCGAGAAAGTTGATTGTACTGCCTCCAAACTTGTCTCTCTCCCCCTGTACTCAATTGCTTAGACTTGAGGTCTTGTTGAAGATTTTCAACGTTTTTGGTCTTCGGTTACCGGCTGGGCCCCACTGGGATGTTTATGCTTGAAAGACAAGATTATTTCCGTAAAACGTTAGATCCTCAACGCCTTGAATAAGATGTTGAACGCATTGGCTGAATATATATTGAGGGGCTTGCGGCCTTGCTTGACAGACCAAAAGCAATCATGGTCCTTAACAGCAATGAGAAGCGTGCGTTCTTCGGACAACAGTGCCGTGAGGCATTGGCAGCCCATATACGTAGGCGGCTATATTCCTTCCGTCTGATGAGTCAAATTAACGCGCCTCAGATGACCGACTTGACCTTGTCGTTGCTCCCAGCCAAGTCCGTCGGTCTAGTGGTTGAATCAACTTTGGCGAGGGGTCAGTGTAAATGGTACCTACTACTGCTACTACTATGTACTACTCTGTAGGGCCGTTGGCGAACTTCCTGATAATAAACCCCGCGGCACTGAGCACTCTCTGAAAATTCCCGCTTCATGGTCTCCTCTAGAAGCTGGGCTTGGTGAGATGCAGTGTCCGCGGTAACTCCATGCTGCCTACCTGTTACGTGGATGTAGTGAATCATCTTTTTGCTTTGCGGTCGTGGTAGACCAGAGTTATGCTCATCCTTGTTTTATATGTTCTTCTTTATGTTACATTGTATATAAAGATCCCCTCAGAATATGGTTCTACCAACAAATTCTGTCTGGTTGAACTATTAGTGGTCCCTGATATCTCGATATTATGCAATATGATGAAACCACAAGACAAGTACTGCCAACGATTGATCCCTCAGAATTAGTTTATACGATTATGCAAAGGATACCCCAGGGAGGACTAGCGGTGATCGCAATGTTCATTTTCTGGTCAACCGCTAGCAAAGTGACAAACACCCATCGTACATCACGATATTACCGGGCGAAAAGTGAGGTACTACTGCATAGTTCTCAACCTTGGATATCATTCGACATAGGACTTACCCAGATTCGGTATTACTTTCCATCTAATATTTGGAATGACTCCGATTCCATCTCCTTTCCAGAACCTATAAAGCGGAAAGCGAATATCCATTCGCCCTCTTTAGTAGTTCTTCTCCAAACTTTTCCCTGGAAGCCCATCATACCGTTTCGAGCCCCAAAGCAAACCCAATGGATTCTGTTCCACCAAGAAAAAAAGAGAATGAAGATCATTCGGTGTTTCTGTCTTCTGTCGCGTCAACTGAATTATTCCTAACATCCCGTGGCTTGCGTACTCCACTTGAACTGCCCAAAGAGGCAAACAGTGTCGGCATTCCCGAGGTTTCCCTGGGTGCCAGAGGCTTATCGAAGCAAAATAACCTAGAAACAACATTCCCCGAGTGCCAAACTAAGCGAGCCGTTCAATTTAAAAGAGAGAATGTATCCAAACTACATCGCACTAGTGAAAAAAGCACCGAAAATTTCTGCAAGCGAAACAGAGTGCGAAAGTCTTCACAAGGTCAGCACGGCTCCAAAGCCAGCCAATGTATTTTATCAGGTTCATTCAAAAACAGAACCCTATCTAAGGCAATGAAACTGGGTCCAATCACTTACCGCGGCGCCCTAAAGTTGACTGGGAAGCTTTGCAAAGCACAGTTGCCCCTCCTCAAAAATCACCTCAGAGACCGCAGTGATTTATTTAGCGACGGAGAAGCCTTGCTACATGAGATAGCAACTGCGCACCCAAAATACAACCAGATTATTCGAACCCTGCCCATCTTATTGAATTTTATTCCTGGAGAATTTAAAGAAAAACTGATGATTGAAGAAAACGCGGAGTGGTTGAAGATGGGAGCTTATTTGGTCAATAAATGGATTTCAAGATCAGCATGACAAAAATTGCTGGGCAGACGATCTACTGTAGAAGGATACAAATTTGAGATGATCTAGGCGAAAACTAGTTAGTTTTTGTTGAGAAGAATTACAAATAGTAAGAAGTGAAGCGAGAGAATGCAACTATGTGCTTTCTACAAATTTGTATATAAGTGGAAGGACCACGAAAAAAATAAGGAGGCTACTAGGCTGTCAGAACCAGTCGGATCGCGAGGCTCTCTTTTAGCTATAAACTTACCATATTGTAGTCCATTATCAAACCTCATATCATTTCAACTTGGAAAACTCTCAAAGAATCCCAATAACTGTACCCTCGTTTCGTTTCATATCTTCATAACCCACATTTCTTCCACTGACATTAACTTCATAAATGTTGTAATTCAGAAAATGATTGATATTTCAGGAGAAATACGAGGCTATACTATGTAACGATAACATCAAGTTGATTATTATTTTCGTAAACACGGGATTAATTCTGATGGTGCGACTTGGTTACTGATCTGCACCAGCCTCATAATACAACAAGAATTGAAGGCTTGCACATAAACACCCCAACATCCCAAGTGTTGGAGATATCTGGAGTGGGGATCGACAGTTTCAAAACTGTTGGTGTCATTATTAAGTGGGAACTTGGTCGTGTGCTCCGATGACGGTAGTGCTAGATTTCGGGGTTAGCTGAAGGCTCTGTATCGCTAATGTGAGCGCTTCAGTCTAAGCTGCAAATCACTGGCTTCAATCGTTTTGCGCTAAAGTCGATCATTACTTCTCAAACGCAAGTGGAAATCCGGGTTCCAACAGGACCAACTCAAAAAGAAAATGATGTGATGACGGGAAATCGAAGCGAAGGCGTCTGTCGGATCCGAACTCGCGAACAAAACCAATAGGCATTCATTTTCTAGGTCGAGAAGAACTTTTAGCCTAGTCACATTGTTGAACAAACTAATATAGTTAATCTTCATTTGCTTGCAACTGCTTGGCAACTCTATCTTTCTGATTACCTATCTCGCATCGATACCAGATCTTTTTCGTTCTACATGACACTTTTTTAGACAGGTTCAACGTATATACAAGATACTCGAGCTGCACACAGGGATAGGTTGCTCTGGACAAGGCACTTGAGCAATCTCATGCTTTATTTCCTGTAAATGGATTGACGTTCTTCTGAAAGCGAGATCATACAAATCAAACGACGTCCGAAACAGTCATATTCATGTTATACTATCTTCACCCCCCGGGAGATCCATATCGACTCGATTCGCGGAAATTTCTTGTGTCAACTCATTCAGGCTCATATTCAACCATTCTTTGGCAGAAATAAGTTCACGTTGTTCGTTCTGATTCAAACGTCGCTTTTTGCTCGTCCTTGTTTCCTCCTGGTCGGTCGACTCATGAAGCACCGTTTGAGACAGATCCGCTCCGACATATTCGGCATGTAAAAGTAGAAACGGATTCCGTACGTACAGCGAATAACAATCTCTTCCGTTGATGCCTCGTGTCGGATTATCGCGAGAATATATATGAAAATGATATTTCGAAAACCCTTCGAAGAATTTATTCAAAGCGGATTGAATGTTTGGTAGCGGTACGTCTCTGTCAGGCTCACCAGGGATGATGAACTTCATATTGAAGCGGCTCGGTGACTGAATATCCACAGCTGGAGCAAGTGAAGTGGGATCAAACTGCGGAGTAGAGAAGACGGAGAACACTGTTGCTTCATTTTCTTCTGGTGGAATTATCGTATTTTGAATTAGGTCATCAAAGTTTGGGTTCCATAAAGAAGGTTCCTGAGGAACTGCCTCATTGGTTTCAACTTCAGGAACGAATTGACTGTCACGGTCGTCTTTGAGATAGCGGAAATATGCCAAAAACACCGATCGTCGAGCAAATCCTGCAGTAACTCGGGGGGAGCTCCAAGGCCGTTCCAATACCTCCCGCGAGAGTGCAAAATGATCTGCCTCCACTGAGTCCCTATATGGCGTTCCATTTCGTCTTTCTACCGGTAGGTCTTCTTCCACACTTGCGGGATAGTCACACGGTGTAATAGGGGATAATTCAACCGGGTGAGCCGGCAGTCCATCCACAAGAGGGGTGCTAAAGCCTTTTTCTCTGACAAGCCAAAAGAGATGTTGCCAGAGTTTCTGTCGTTCGTGAAGTTCTTCCACGGGCGTTGGCGCGAGTTGTGTCCCAGACTTTGTCCGCGTGCGGCGCTTGTGATCAGTCATTTCGAATCCATATTGAAAGCTGAAACGCCAGAAATCATAAAGATCCCCCCGAATTCCATGCTGGCGATTTGAAGTCATGACAGGGACACTTGTGTAATATTGTTCCCCGAGTTCTTCGTCGACAGTCATCTTCCGATGGGGATCTGGAATGTAGAGTTGCTGTAGTACACTCCGGCCTACCTCTAGACTGATCCTGTCTTTGAAGAATGTCTCCAGTGTCGGTATAGGGTACTGGATCTCTTTCAATCGTTCCCAAATTTCAGTGCGGTCTTGAACATCTTCAATATCAGGGAACAATTCTTCCTTTGACATTCGATCTTCCAAGAACCGCAAGTCCCGAGCAGAGACCTTGGGCACACGGGATTTCAATAGTTGGATGGTCACGCCGTCTAATTGCGCCAAAAGATCCCGCCTGTCCCCCATTAACCCAAAAAAGGTGCTTTTTATGTGGTTAAGGTAGCATAGGAGAGGCTGATACATCCACTTAGCCTTTTGGTCATGGGGCTTTGAGAACTGGAATTGGGTTCAGTATCTTACCTCATCACAGCGCATTGACACCAACTTGTGTAGTAGCCCGATTCGCATGCCCTCCCAGATACCCGCTATAGGGAGCAGCTCATCGAAGGCTTGGGGTAGTGTAGGATGTTTGAGAAAAGCCCGCAGATATTTTCCCTTTTTGCTGCCAGGAACCCTTTCCAGGGCAGCCCACCAATGGTTTGCTGCGATCCTGTTTACGGGGCCGTCAAGATATCCTTCATAATACCGTATTCGCTCATATATAAGCCCATCCGGAGGCCTTTGATCATTCGGGAAGCGTTCCTGGAGTGATCGGACAAATTCTTCTTGTAAAGGTTCTTCGCCAGCTAAAATGTAATCAGGCAAAGATATTCTGGGGAATAGCGACCTCTTCACGCACCTGTCTGCCCTGTAACATAAACATCCACAATCCACCATGAATTACTAGAGCTGAGCTTTTTCCGAGCAGCAATAATTAAGTTCTCGTGGTCCTGTCCGCGCAGCTGGTAGTCGATATCGACATCCAATTGATGGAATTGTCCATCTACCAGCCGTGGCCTAACGCGACGTTGCCAATCACTTTCAGGAATCAATACAGGTACATGGCATTCCTCCATCAGGCGTTGGCACCCTTGAGTGTCCAGAATTCGCTCAAGGCGAGCGATATTTTGGCGGTTGCTCATTTGCCGCTTGAAGTTTTTGTCGAATACGAGACGAGAGATATCAACCCGTGCTGCCATTTTGAAATGTTCCTCACGATAGGTAAATACTTTGTACTCGGCTTCTTCCACTTGGGCTTGTGTTAAGCGCGTCATTTTGTAATGCAGTGAACGTTGTATGCTTGAGCTTGTCTGCTGAGCGGGTAGGACTATTTAAATACCCTGAACGAAAGAGCCATTTTTACGTGTTTGCCATTTCGTCTGAAATATCGTAGCAGTCATCAAATTCAGGCTGATGAAGGTATACGTTCCATTATATGAAATGAGGTGGTTGGTCTTCCCCACAGAAGGTTGAGGGAGTCTATTTCCGCCGCTCCGGCTAACCTACTAACCTCAGAAATCAGGCGTTATCCTCTCTGCCGTCCACTCACTGTTATGGCCCCAATCGTTATAGTAAAACCTACTATAATGTCATATCAATCGCCTTAGCCGGGTCTAACCAAATCTAGCTGAAACCAAACATTTGAGGGTCAATTTGCCAACCGCGAACAGCACTTACGGATGGACGTGCCGTTTCCACTTTAATGAATACATGCGACGGGGGGCTTTTGAGTTCCGCTACTTCGAGTTAATATATTTTCCTATTCTGACATCATCCACATGTTAACGGTTCTATAAAGAACACATGGTTTCCACATGCTCGTGCGGGGCGCTTTCATCGAGAATACCCTTGACACTGACTTCCCTAGATTCCTTGGTGGCATAAATAGAATGCTGCGACACGTAGGAAAGATACTTCCCTTGGCTTTCTCTATAGCGGCCTTGGTCTGCCTAGCCATTGTCTTTGCGGGATGCATATCGACCTCTTCTCCCAATGAATTGTACTTCTTGAAGGTAGCTAATATCCCATAAAACTCAAGGAATAGTTAGCTAAAGCCAAAATAATAGGTGAAATTGATCAATTTTCCAGAATTTGGGAGCGTTCATCCTCGTCGCTCCCTCGGTATTGCCGCGGTGGACGGAATCGATGTTGCAAACAAAGCCAGTAGTGAGGCCAACAGCGTTATGAACAGCGCTTCTACTGCTGTAATTTATGCCTCGGGCGCCGCAGAGACTGCAGCGAGCCAGGTGACCGATAAGATTCAATCTTTATCCAACGAAATAAACTCACACCTTCCGGGTTTTTATTCTGTGGGACTTTGGGGATATTGCCAAGGCCAGAAAGAAACATCATCTTATTCCAATTGCTCGCAACCCAGTACCTCTTTTTCGTTCGACTTGTTAAGCATTTTGGGCTCGGTTACCCCAGTAATCGACGGGGTGCTACCAGACGAAAATAACAAATTGCTTGCTGGATATCACGGTGTCTCCCGATGGTCAATCTCAGCTTACATCTTGGGTTTTGTTTCAACATTTGTGGCTGTTGTTTTCGGAGTCACCACAATGTTTTTTTCGCGGGGAAAAATATTGCTTATCATTTCTTCCTTGGTAAGGCGTCGTAATTAGTTTCTGGATAAAATAAGCTGACCATTGCTGAGTCTGCAACTATTTTTGTCGCCGGCGCATCCATTGGCGTTACGGTAATCTACGGGTTGATTACGGGTGCTATACAGAGTATCCTTCATCCTCTGGGAGCCGATGCAAGTTTCGGGGCGCATTCGTTTGCTGCAACCTGGCTAGCAGTAACATTCTCTTTTGCGGCACTTTTGACATGGCTGATTGAGATGTTTTGCTGCTGCATTTGATGTGGTTATGGAATAGTCAGCGGGTAAGCTAAGATGTAGACTACCTTGTTACAGAATCGACTCTGATAAAGAATAAAAGAGATGGAAGTGGTTAAAGTAATTTCGATATATCTTTTACCTGTAGATTTCCACAATTTCTTATGATTGCAGAGGATGCTGTCGAATGCTGTCGAATGCCAAGGTTCGAATACAGGGCTGAGACAGGGTAAAATTCTCAGAAAATCATGTGACTAATGGTAGAAGCGACCGAGAGATAGCGAGAGAAAGGGCAGATTCGGTAAGAAATATGTCCGATATTGTTGTCTACTCGGACGCTTCCGGACGTGAAGGCTGTCTTGGAACTGCCATCGTCGCGCTCAACGACCAGGAAGAGGTGGTGGAATCTCAACAGGTACAAGTGGGTCCGACGGAACGCTGGTCGGTCCACGTAGCAGAGCTCATCTTCTATGTACGCGGTCGACATGGCGTTCAAGCTAGCCCATCGGCGCACAAATGTCGGAGATGGAGTACGGTCAACGGCAACAATCTCATGTGACAGCAGATCGGCCTTGCAAACAATCCAGAACCCAAGTAACAAATCTGGACAGCGAATCGTCCATGCAATCATACAGGCAGCCCTCAGGTTCAGGCAGAGAATATCAGACTCCGCCTGCAGTGGATCCCAGGACATTGTGGGAATGTCGGGAATGATGAGCAGATCGACTCGCTAAGGAAGCTGCGCAACCGGGTAAAACCCATCCCTTTCGGCGCGCGGGAGACAGTCGCGCACGTGCCGATAGAATGCCCGAGGCTCCGAATGCTGCAGGCGGAATTGAGAAGGAAAGTCGGGGACGCGATGAACAGCGTGTCGAGCCTGCTGGGAGGCTCAAACGAAGATGAGAAGGGTAAACCAGACACCGTGGAAACCAATGCCTGCAGGATGAAAATGTCCAGTTCTTCCTGCAGGTTGCGTCGAAGTACTAACCAACTACACCATTGCCACCACCGCTTTATTATAAGGCGGGTCGGGATGAGTTTCACCATTTGGTCTGTCCAATGGTTTCTCAAACTCTGTTTTAGTGTACTGTTATAATGCCTTCTATGTATTCTAGGGCTACATAACAACCGGTAGGCACGGACATACTTTGACTCAGGCGATTTCGCTCTTTCTGCCGCTGATTGCGAGACTGACCACGGCGCTATTCAAACGGGCAGAGCACATCCTCATCGGGAAAGCATTTCGCACCCTTATGCCTCTATCCCAGCCTCTAGTAACGTTGACGAAGATGCCAACCAAGATACGTATAGGAAAAGTGCCAGTCTTGAGAAGAGTCCTCTCCTTCACCAAACAGACATTAAAGATGAACCTACAAATAAGGAGGGACAGGACGATCATGTCTCTCACGAATGTCACAGTAAGACCAAATTGTCGCATTGAAATTGAAAACAAATTGTATGTCATTGAGCAGGACAGCACGAGCAGCACAATAGTCAACGAGGCATGGTACGATAGCTTTTCGATTATGAAGTTACGGAATATTTTTTAATCTTACGATATGTATCCATATCCTTGAAATGGTGGTGGTTTTGTAAGCTGCCTAAAGAATGTTATCCTCCCTTAACATTAGGGTTCGAGAAACAATCAGAGAGCGTAGGTAGTGAGTGACACCGGATTACCGAAGAGATGTGTGCACATTGGGAGCAAGTTGTAAAGGAAACACAAACCAGAGTGTCTGTCTACTCAGCAACGGAGCAAGATAAAGAAGACCATATGAGATTATACCCAAAGGGTCTGCATCGCTGACGGTTTGTGGACCTGCGGGGGGAATTAACATCACGTCAAACAGTTCTTCATTTTTGAAAGGCTAAAGGGATTTACGACGTGTGGCATAATTCGACGGTTGGATAATGATTTGTGTGCGACGATTTCCAGGTAGTGGGCTATGTCCTACTTGTGAAACCGGACAATAGGCCGATACGGATAGGGGGGCATGCTACTTGAATTCCTATTCCCATTTCTCCTCCAAAAACTGTTGCAGGTGCTGTCCACTGGCGTTTACCGTAATTTACCATGACTCATCAATAATACATTGGCAGAAGCAATGTGGATCTAAGCCTAGCCTAAATTGTAATAGTGTGCTTCAGGTGGAGCTCTGGGAAATAGTGTGAGAGAGAGCGGAGATAAAGCTGATTTTGAATACAGTGCGTCCCGAAACTGGTGCAACCGCTGACACTCTTCGAACGTTTCTCCAGCCCCACCGCCAAGAGACACTAGACCATATTAAGATTAATCTAGGAATATCAATGTTCCTGTATCAATCTCGATACCGTGATTTACATTTATTAAAATACGGTGCCTTGTCTCGTAACTGTACTGGGATCCAAAGGAACTGGAATTTTCCATGGAGATGCAAACAAGGCAAACGACAGTGTTTTGGAAGTGCCTTGAGAATCTGGCGACCTGTCACTTTCCTCCCACTCCTGTCCAAGTGACGGTCTGGGGGACTTACAGTACACGGCACCAGACCTTGCAAATAGTGGCTTGCATTACTTGCTTACTGTACCTGCAGGCTACCCATGAACCTGCTTATCAAATTACTCAGCCTGTCAGCTATAGTCCTCTCTTCTTGACGTCCTGTAACACACTTGGTGGAAGCTAACACACAACCATGTTAATAGACTCCTCGGTGGCATCTTTTGCCTTGGGGGGATGACTTACACTCCTTTCAACAATGATGATGATGATGCTTACCGACCTGAACTGCCCAATCTATGGGAACGGACTCCCTCGTATGCCCCCACCCCTGGTTACCCAGACCGCGAATGGACGCCATCAGTAATCTGTCCTTCACCCGATCCCGAGAACATAGTTGGTGAATGTTCACCTTCCTTGCATCAACACCCGTCCGACCATCAGAGTTTTGATCCTGTGGTTGAACGTGCAGATGAAAGTGTATGGGATGAACAATCTCCGAACTGTATCCACTACCAGATCGAGTGGAGGGTTAAATTGAACAATCGAGTTGTGGTCAAGGATACATACAAAACAAGACCTGACTCAACCGCCTAGATCTTACTGGGAACAGATAAAAGAGGACGCTTGTAATATTCTGCGACGGAAGACAGCCCGTGGCCGACGGGTGAGACTAGATGATACTGACATGGTCTTATCGGTGAACTCCCAACGGGACATTGACAAACATTTTGAAGGCACTAGTGTTGATTGGACAGCGGTGGAGAAACAGCTGCTAGCGTGGGCCTCTCTATTTCGTCGAGGCAAGACGATCCGGCTTCAGATAACGATCAACTACATAGAGGACAGTGGGACTCTTCCTTCTAGAACAGACAAGAGAGGAAAGTCATCGGTGACTACACGGATGCTCGCTGATCGAGACTCTCAGATTGACGCCGAGCAAGTCTCCGGTCAACATTCCGTCTGGCGCGATGTGTATCGTGTCATGCGATGTCCCGGGCCGCCATGTCGCCACGAAGGACAATACTGCTGGCAAGATCCAGAGGGGAAAAGGCACCATAGATTGAAGACACACCATCTGAAGGCCCTCGTCAAATATGTGGAGCAAGGTGGGGTTCTCGAGACCCACGCTGATGTCCCTGACAGTGTTCGCGAGCAGCTCTATGCCGAGGAGAACCAGCGACTGGACAAGAAAAAGAAAGCCGCGGAGAACTCTACAATGGGTTCAATGTGTCCTCCAATCAATATCACTGTCCTCCCGGCAGGATCATCTCAGCAATCGGTACATCCTCCTGCTAATGATGCCATGCCCACCGGGCCCGGCTGTACTGAATCAATCATGGTTGACGGCCTGCTAGATGTCGCTGTGGACGAATATACTGAATGGCAGCAATCGCGGGTGAGCAACGAGACTTTCAGGGAGAATATCTACAAAGCACGCGATGTGACCCTCGAAAATTGTCTCGACCTCATGCAGATTTATGAGGATCAAGACCCAGGGTTCTTTGTTAAGCACGGCGTGAAAGTAGGTGCCGCTCGGCGGTTCGTTCGTGACATCGGCTTTTGGGTTAAACGGCGCAAAGAAGTGACTTGCAACGAAAATTTTCATTTAGTCTAGATACATATATTATGTGCTTTGATTAAAGAACAGCCTACACTGGCATGCTACTTTGCATGGGGTCGGAGTGAACTGTAATTTCTTTCAGCGATCATACTACCATAGCAAAACAGGTAAGCTCGCTCTAAAGACGGTTCCTAACACGCTGGTACTGTATCACGGTAGAGAGGATATTGGCAGATATCAATTTGACATAATTTATGTCACTTTTGTGAGTAGACTTTGCCCGCCGTTTAACGAGAGTTAATATTGTTTTAACTTCACATAAGTCCCCACTAGATGTGAGACCTACGACTTACCGGGTGGGGCCAGTCTCCGCATCAATTTTTGGAGGTATCAACCTTGAGTCGTCCGTTGACCTAGAGCGCAAGGAGGTTACAGATATTGGAATTTGGTTCCTGGAAAATAAATCCGACGGGCATGAGTGCTGATTGGATTGTCGATGAAGACCCCGCATTTCAGACCGCATTTCAAATGGTAGCTGTGTCTTACAATACAGCAGTAAGACACCACTAGGTGTATTCTACACGCAATTGGCTGTACAATGCAAGAATGCGCCTGGCTCTTTCTGTCTGCTACGTGGTATGCCCCTCAATAACAGGAGGGGATTTGCCTCTGCAGCCACGCGCATGCCTGAGAGATGTTTGTATCTAAGAACAGGCGAAACGACTTGGTTGCTAGACTTCTTACTTCGAAATTTTATCTGATCCGTGATATGATTAAAAGCCAGTCTTTTACCACGTCTCAGATGGCCGAAAGAGGCTGAATGTACCTAACCCCCTTTCCTGTACATCCTGTACATCTGACGTGTCTCGCAAGCCTTGCAGAACAACTCATACTTGCATTCCCCCTCCCTTCTCTCGGGCTATTATAAAAGGGCGTTAGGAAATTTTGCCTTGAATTTCTCATAATATCTACTCATTCAGTTTCTTCTCAACACTATTACCTAACGTTACCGTTAACATGGCACCAAAAAAGAAAAACAAGAGTTCCAAGATGCGAATGGGATCCAAAATTACGACACCGGTCCTGAGATCTTCGAAGATTGACTATAATCAACCATCTTCTTCGTAAGCCCTTCGAATTCTTTGGTGTTGCATTGATTCTGATCTTCGAAATGGCCCTACGAGTCGCCGTTTATTACCCTTGTGATTGGGAATAAGCGGTATAAGCTTCCAAAGGAATTTCTTTGCAAATGCCCACAGCTTCAACTACAATCGTTCTGGGCTACAGAAATTGCATTGCCGGATGTCTACGAAGGTGCCGGCCATACTTTGGTGCATTTCTTCTATTCAGGGAACTACGAGACGATACTCTCGCCACCCGATATTGACACATGCGGCATCGCAGGAGAGTACAGAAGAAGTATCCTGGTTTACCATGCATCCAGAAAGTGTGGGATTCCGGGTCTCGAATGCCTTGCTAAACATTACATTGAGCACTTCGGTAAAGAACTGGCTCTGTATGACGTACTTCGCCTAACAAGGGATGTATTTTCAACCCTTCCTGAAGGCGAGACTTGGCTCCCGAATTACATCAAAAGTCATTTGCTGCGGCTGAAGCTTGGAAATCCAAACAACAACCTGGCAGAGCTTTATAG